CAACGTTTAATAAAGTCTGAAACACATGTTCATTCAATAATGAAACATTTAAAAAATTAGTTACTCCTTTTTTTTATTCAAGCTTTCTTTTTAACTTTTCTTTAACTTTTTGATTATAGCCAATACTTGTAAAATCTTTCTTTAAGCAACCAATGCAACTTACCTTAAGTATCAATTGTTTAATACAATATTCTGAATATTCAGTTACAAACATTATCATTGTCAAATTGTAAACACTACACAACATTTAAAAGATCAGTTACTCTTTTTTTATTCAAGCTTTCTTTTTACTTTTCTTTAACTTTTAATTATAGCCAATATTGTAAAATCTTTCTTTAAGCAACCAATGCATCTTACCTTAAGGTATATATTTTTTAATATAATATTCTGAATATGATCATTGTTAAATTGTAAACACTACATAAAATGAAAGAGCTAGTAACTCACAATTAGTTAATCTATCAATATCATAATTTATCTGTTACACAGGATTAATTTCATTAAATTTAAACAATATGTATCTTCAAGTGCAGTGGCATGTCATCAAAGATGTAGGCCATGATGCCACTGTTGACATTAACAATATAATGAACAAGGATTTTAAGTTGAAAAGGGCTCAGAAATGAAAATAAGTAAGCTCATAAGCCATATCTCAAAAGCAATGGCTCTTTTCACCACAAAGATGGCAGAAGAAACTAAATTGTATCAATCACATATAACATACCTACCATGTCTCTTAATGTAGGTTCAATGGACATTTATGCTTTTGCTCTTTTTAAACACGAACTTGGAAGTTGTTATTCCATGCATAAGGAAAACCTTTGGAAAATCTGGTAAGACATAAAGTCTAAGATTGACCTCCTTGTCTTTCTCAGGTTGGTTACCCTGGAAATTATGTTGTCAGATGGTAATGAACAATCATAGCTTTTAGAATGTGAACAAGTGAAGATGGAAGTAGTAGTCCCAGTGGCAGCAAAGGACCTTGAACATTGTTCTTATATAGCATGATTAACTGCAGTAGATGAACATTTTGCTTATTGTAAGATCATGTTCATTATAATGAAAAACCAAACATAAAAAATACCTCAAAAATATGAACTAAAGATAATGAATGACATTCTAGATGTACCAGGACACAAGTATAAGTACTCAAAATGTGCATAAATGTCATTCAATAACCAACATTATGGTTAAGCAGGGCCTTTGAAATATTCCAAAGGCAAGGTAAAAGATAAATGAAAGGATACCAAAAAAGGATTGGAATAAGCATTCCTGAAGGGTATGTCAACAGGCTTAATTACCTACTTGTCCAAGAGATTTGGACTTCCTGAGCAAGAAGAAATCTTGTAAAGATCCACTAAAAAGGGGAAACAATATCGAAAAACAGAAGTAGAAAATGAGATACAAAACAAAACAGAGTATAGATAAGAGCACCCAAAGAATATCAGGATCTCAAAAAAAGGAAACCACAGGGAAGCAAAAATAGGTTTGGAAGTGGAAATAGGCATTGAAGATCTAGAAAATGTTCCAAGAAAATATCACAGGGGATAAAACAAGTTAAGGTATAATCCTAGTAAAAATTATTGGTGTACGGAATACCTAGAAAAAAACACATCATAAAAAATTCCCTACAATTTCTTTGGGAACCAAATCATTACAGATCTGCGACACTTCATTTAGAAAGTCAAGGCTTGTGTAGTTAAAATAATCCTGTTGCATTTTCTTAAAATATTCATTTTACTCTGAAAAGAAATTGCAAAATTCAAGGAAATTCCCTCTCTGTTTAAATTCTTTACCCTCACTGTGACCTTGAGATGGTAAACTAAGTTTGGAAAGTAGCTTGACTGTATCATAGACCTTCATAAGATAATCCTTGTTTCTCTCAATGGTAGTTTTGTGACTTGCAAAAAGCTTCATAGCTAATAAACCAGTATCTTTACTATGCCTGAAGCACTGCCTCTTTTCCATACATTTCACACAAATATGGGAAAAAGTGTTTAACCCTTTCATTGAAGAAAGTGACTATAGTCGATGGAAGATTAATAGTCATTGAGAGTGGGGATGGACTTTTCTCACTGGCTGTCAAAAATTTTTCCATCCACAGCAGAAAGCAACAACCATCTATGAGCTTGAGTCGACCACTAGACCTCAGATGTGCTGACATCTGGGTGTACAATTGGGAAAAAGAAGTATAAACAATCTCTCAGCTAGAACACCAGTAGGCAGACGACACGAGGCACCCACACACACACAGATATCAGCTGATTGTTGTATTGTCTCCATGTTTTACCATAATATAGCAGCCATAACATCAAGATATGCAATGTAAGTGTCTCATATATCAGAATGCATAATACAATGAAATATACTGCTAATTTACAATCTTATTATAATGGAGCAATGGCATGGCTGTCTATATATCCATCAATATAGTATGTGACCAAAATAATAAATACAATGGTGCCATCTGTTGTGCTGAAATACAATAAGAACTCAATACCAGAAGTGGTGATTGAGCCTTATGAAATGAGATGCCATCTACTGAATACTACCACAAACAATAATCATAAACAAATTTCACACTTTGGGTAGTCAAGTTTCAGACAATTAAAAAAATACCTATGATATGTATAAGAATAATTTCTTTATATTTGAACACAATTTTAAATAAAAGTACTCTCCATACAACAAGAATACAACTTTCACTAGAACTGTATGTGAGTGTTTGATTATATCTTTATTGATGTGATCTTGAAATGTTGTACTGAGAAAATAAGAGTTCTTAAACAAAGCCATTATTTTTTTAATAAATGATAGCCCTTTTAATATGTAAAAACATTACAATTTATTTCAGTAAAAGTTATTAAAATTTTGAGCTCAGTACATTGAATCATTTTGATACAATGAGTTGTGATGACTAAAAAGCACAATACCATGCAGTACTTCCCAGAAAAAAAAACTTTTTAAAAAATAGTTCACTTTTTTACAACGAGGTATGAATACTACAATTACTAATTATTAGCACAAACAACCACCCTAAGGAGAAAATGTCTGCTGGTGTTTTTGGTAAACAAATCATCCACATAGCCTATCTGTGTATGGAAATTTCAGCACAGAAAGCAGAAAACAGCATCTTGTTGAACTGAATATTTAATCCAAGAAATTTTGGTATTGTGGAAAACAAAAAAAGAATGACTATGTTTTCCAAACCTTTTCTTTGGAAAAGCAGGCAAATGTGGTGGAGTTGGCCCATTGTATTTTTCTCCAAGATAAGGAGGACTGGTAGCATAATCTCTCAGTCATATCACTGGTCATGTAAGAGGGTGTACTTACAGCATCCAAAGACAACTGATCCTCTTACTGTGCTCATTCTAAAACACTGTCAGAAGTTGATGCAGCTCATACAGGGGCTGGTTATCAAGGTGTTTTAAAATCCTGTACTATCACTCATAGTTTAACTGTATCCTAGCTCCAAATTTTCATAATAACAGAAATTTTCTTTTCTGTGTTACAATGTGAAAAATGCTGAAATTAACTGACACAAACCACAAATATCACAATACCTATAAGGAGGTGAAAGTTGTAGTCAGCAGTGAGCAGGTACATGAAAAGTGTTTATAGAAAATTTGTATAAAGTTGCCTAGATTTTTTGTTTGATTTGTTGGTTGTACATTGTGTCAACCTTTCTTAAAAATTTCAACTATGGTACAAGTGTTACAATTGTAGATCATCATTTTAAAAGTTAAAGGTCTGTTGTAGCTAGTACATTTAAAAAATTTAATTAATAATGATTACAATAAAAAATAAGGTTGTTGTTTGGGCAGTTAGAAATTCTAATTGAACTATTTTCATTTAGACAGTTAAGACCTTAACCTGATCATCTATCCTAAAATATAACTTATGATATTTGCACACCATTTTTTTTTTCACAACTATTAAAATGTCCAAAATTCAAATACTGAAAAGAATTACTAAATAATATTTAATCTATTTAAGTAATTAAATGGCTTAAATTGTAAAAATAATGTACATCCCAAGATGCTTTGGACTAATAAGATTCCATGATTACAACCTTCAAAACAAATTAAGCAGTGTGCCTATATTGATCAACAAAGAAAGAAAAGAATTTGCTGATTGGCTGTTAAATTAATTCATTTTGTGCTCTTGGAATAACACCTTCAGTATGGAAGTTTGAGAAGCTGATATCACCATTTTGCCATGAAAAAGCAACAAATGAATATATCAAAAATTTAAAAGATAACACAGATACTCATTATTGAGCCACTAGCTCCGTCAGACTAGTGTGTCATGTTAGCAACTTGTCCCAAGCTATCGGGCCAGTGTTATTGTCAAGTGCTGAGATATAATTACATGACAGGGATGTTGTGGATAAATTTTTTATATGGATGTGTTGGATCTCCTTCAGAAAATGTATGAAAACTAAGATGTCATTATTTCTACAAAATGGGTGTAATCAGCCCCTACAGAGAAATCTAATCTTTCAAAGTTTGTCATAAAAGTGCAATAATTGTTGATGCACTAAGCAGTTGCATAAAACAGTAGATGCTACTGGACATGCTGTTTATCAATCAACAGACTCCTTCTATAAGAAAATAAATGAGAATTGAAATTATTCTTTGCAATTGTTATCCATCTGCTCTCAACAAAACACAAAAGATGATTCTGCTGTCACAGAACACATGGTTAAATGGATAAACAACCCAATATACCATAGCAGATTGTATAATATGAAATATTAGCATGAAAAAGACTGATGTGGGGAATTGCTGATTTGATTTTGGGCAGTTTTCTGAAGAATGTCCACTGCCATTGATACCAGATCTATAAAAGTTGAAGCAAGAGGTATCATACATGCACAGTGTATGATGTACATCAGCAGTAAAAGGAATGGTCTTTTTTCATGCAAAGATCCAAGCCCACCTATCCTAGTCTGGTATTGCCTGTATCATACAGGAGTAATAGTAGTGGAGTGCTGGGCACACATAGCTTTAGTAATATGATTTATATAGCTCAAACAAAGACTCAAGATCAGCTTTCAAGTCTGAAGGTGTTCAGGATGCTGCAACAATTATCAATGACATTTCCAGTGAATCTGGCAATGAATGAAGGTGGAATGTGAAGACTTAGCATGCACGATATGTGATATGTGACATTTCTATAGGCAAGATTAAAAACGATATTCTGGTTATTTTTGTGTTTTTTCAACATTAATGGGATAAAGTGACACAACATATGTGAATAAAAAAATTCAAAGAGTGGTCAAAATTCCCATCTTATAGAATATTGTCCTTTATAACTCATGAGCTACTCTTACTAATGAATAGTGGGATTCGCCATCATATTATAATGCCCCCCATGGCTGAAAGAGTGAGCATGTTCTGTAACAGAGATCCGAACTCATGGCCCTCAGATTGTGAATTGAGCGTCTTAACTACTAGGCCATGTCACCCCATGTTTGTTAAGTTCTTTAATTAAGAAAAATAAGAAATAGGTAAATAGAGCATCATTCATATAAAAAATCATACCTGGAATCAAACTTTGGTAAACAAATTGGTGTCCACGATTCTGCTGCTTTGAAACTATCTGAAGAATTTACAAGATTCATAACAAGATGAAGATCAGATGGATGAAGAGAATATTTCTTCATTCGAACAATTGTCACAAGCTGGTTTTTGGCAACCAGGATGGCAAACACAACATTCTGTTGATAAATAACTGCACATTAGAATTTATCTTTAGATATACTGTTGGAAGATAAATCTGTTAAGTTAAAAGATGCTTTAATCAGTTATCTACCCTCATCTGAAACATGCAAAGCAAATTTCCTAGTTTTAATACAGATACTTGAGCTAAAATTCAATGCAAAGACATTACAATGAATTATCATTCACTTTACGGACTATAAACATGACCATGATTTATATTTCAAAAGCTGGAGTAATTTAATCACAATTTAAGGTACAAATCTCAAAACTGACTCAAAATACTTCATAATAAAGTTAAGTGGCATACAAATTTGAATTAAATATAATCTGATTTAAGGCTTTACTTTATTGATGACATCTGTGAACTGCACTGCCTTAGGAGTTTCTGGATGACGTTTCAAGCTGCTAGTGCAGATCTTCATCTTCCCCTTATGAGGATCTGTGCCAGAAGTACAAAATAATGTCCATTGACTTCCAAAAAAATACAGTCCACAGACATCTCCAATAAGTACAGTCTTCTCTGCCTAAACTTTTTCTTAAAGACTTGAGGATTTGTCTTGATTACTAACACATATTATGACTGAAATACATCACATATTCTTTGCATAATTGTACACACTTACACAATCTTCCCACAAATTGATAATTTTTCTCTTTTTAACTAAGCAATGTAATACAACTAACCTTAACTTTGCTACAATATTGAACAATACTTTGACTAATCGTGTCTCTAATAGCGCTTGTTAGTGGTAAACAGCGAACAGCAACCAATAAGAAACTTGGATCTGAGTCCATTGTGTCCACCAAATTGTCCAGGAATTTTTCTGCTCCTCCTAGTAAGCGTCTTAAATCATAGTTCCTTCGCTGTTCAAAGATACTGCACAGTTGAGTGGAAGTTAATACCGACAGGATCAGGTTGTACACACAGTTAAGCTGAACAACAAGCTGAGGAGCTGAAGCATTAGTATTCGCTACTGCTACTAAAATAAGTGGAAGCCGAACAAGAAAGACAAACTTATGATCTCCTGCATGTATGGAACGAATCACATCACCATTGTCTTGAACAATGGACACCAAAGCCTGCATGACTCCCATTAACGTTACTAATTTGTCCTCACTTCCAAATCTGTTAAATATATGAAAAAATACACTGAGTGTGTGTAAAAAAAGATCATTACATCCATCTTTTAAAGTCAAACAAATAAAACAATAATTACTCTACATAAATGAAAATTCTATAAAAATATTAATGAAATCTGTATTACATAACTTTAGAAGTATAGTAAAACTAATGTTCATAAAACTGTTTTTAGACTTACACTAACATAATGTATATAGCTTACAATGTACATCAAAGTGTATAAACAGTAAATGTTAGGAAATAGAATGAAAATGTTACTACTCTTTTGTTATAATTCAAACTCAAGTATGATACAAGATATATATAGTAGCTCTCCCATTTACATTGGGATTCATTCCTAGAAAATACAATGTTAGGTGGATTGGCGTAAATCAGCTGCTATTTTCCCATTGATTTAGTGTTATAAAGGGAGGATGAATTCCTGGAGACTAATTTTAGGACACCCAAACTTAATCTAACCCAACATAAAGACACAAAATAAATACATCAACACAGAACACTCATGTTTAAGGGTTTTTGGATAGTTTGGCACAAAAATAATCAAAGGAAATATCACTCGATACTGACCAATAGGACAGACAACTTGCGACTGAAACAGAGCGAAGTGCGGGCAGGCTGGTTTTGATCTGACTCCCTCAAGTGGAAAAATACCTGTGCAGTGCACCTACTTATTGTTATGATACATGTGGTTTGAATTTTTTGTTTTTGGCATTCGCTGCCAAAAATAACATTAAACCTGATTTAACCAACTTATTTCAGATATTGTTCCCTAATTTCTTAGTGACTTTATATCAGATCAACATAAATTGAAAAGTTACTGTACTTTCTCATTGAAGCTCTATAATAGTATTAATTATCTTAGACAAAATATGTATTGAGCATATGTACATTTATTTTAGTTTTAATTCTAATTCAGTTTAAGTAACTTATTACAACTAAGAAATTTACTAGAATATACAGGGTATAATATGAAGCATGCATCATACCGACTATAAATAGGTTTTCCTGCTTCACTGAGGATAAAGATATGTTTGGAGTGTTGTTTCCATTCAGGGTTGTGAATATCTTCAGCAGTTTCTATTATTTCATGTTTTTCTTCATCACTTGACATCTGAATTGACTCCATTTCAATCCTGATTGGTTCAACCTAAGACCAATAAAACCACATCACATCTTTCTTTGGAGTTCTTTATTACAATAAAAGGAAAAAAATTCAATGAATGTTACATCATTATATGTAATATACAAAATTATGTAACTACCACTGTTTAAAACATCTTTACTTTTAAATACAAAATTTGTCCAAAAATAAAAATTAGAAACTACTTCAATCATTGCTTTCCTTCTATTACAGAAGTATGCTTTTCAGAAGACATCACATTCTTTTCACATCTACATGTAAACTACCTCAAATGTATTAAGTCTAATGTATTGACTTGTTATTTTTAAAGTTCATATATTTCTAACAACCAAAATTACAGGAGAAACCTAAATCAGCATTCACAGAATCATGTAAAATTATACTCTTTAGGTATGTAAATTTGGGTGTGCTTTAAAAAAATTTGAAGCCTTTTGCTTTGTGTTTAAGTATAATAAATGGATCTAATAGAATGCTGAGATATTTTCACAGAAAGTTATCGTTATAGCAAATAGTTTGATTTATTAGAAAGCACCATACTTGTAGTTCCTTTAGCTCAGTTAATAGTCCTCACCTGTCATCCAAAGATCCAGAGTTCAATTCTGGGATATGTTAAAAGTCAGAATAACACAGAAGAATTGGTGCCAATGTAGGACTACCTCATGACAATGAGATCAGACCCAAGAATGGCTTTATTTATGAGCAGAATACACAAGTCAGTTAGTTTGCAAAGTTAAAAAATGTCTTACTAAAAGCTGCTTGAGGGTTAACTCACTAACTAAAATAGTAAAGCATTCATCTATCTCAGAACATGCAAGGTACAAGATCACCACAAGAGTTTCTTAAGAATAGTGATAGCAATTTTAATCCATTTACACCAGGAAAGACAACATATTGGGAAGAATAAAGAAAAGAGATATTAGAATGATATCTTATTTAAAACATTTGAGTTATAAATAGACTGTTAAAACTAGTGTCAGAACATTTTGTTTTTTCAACTATATTCTAATTAAATTCTAACTCTGATATTGACTTTTGGTCACTGATTCTTGCCTTCTTTAAACCTAACAGCTCTTGTGTAATGAGGATCTTTGTGAAACAAAAGGTCTTTATGTGGTATTTTCAGGTGGAAACATTTTCACTAATAACAGCAGATTCACCCAAGAAATAAGGAGAACAATTTGAAACTAATAACTTTACAGTTTTTCTTGTGTGTTTGAAATAATGAGATGGACAAGTTTGACAAAATTAATACAATTTTTATTATGAAGCAAAAAAGAAAATGCAGCATACATATTTGTGCACATGAAAAGACAGTCTACTGGATTATGATTAACTCCACAGCTTTCTTTCCTCCTCTCAAAATAGACTTCTGTTGAACTAAACACAATGAGATTAAAGTCATTCTTTATCTGAAAAACTCCAGATAGAACAAAAAAAGATCTAAATTCAACAAATAAAACTGGTTTCTTTTGCCAGTCATCGGTGTCACATTGTGACCTTGTTCTCTCACAACATTGGTTGGCTGTAACATTTAGACTATGGTTAACTGTAACATTTAGACAATTTCAACCCAGCCAGCAAAGAATATTATGGTCACTAATCCTTTCAATCCAGATGCTATATGATACAGCAATATCCTCTCAGGCAGAATAGGCATTATTTATTATATAGAACAAAGGACAAACTAAACACGATGAGATTAAAGTAATTCTTTATCTGAAAAACTCCAGATAGAACAAAAAAAGAAGATCTAAATTCAACAAATAAAACTGGTTTCTTTTGCCAGTCATCAGTGTCACATTGTGACCCTTGTTCTCTCACAACATTGATTGGCTGTAACATTTAGACTATGGTTGACTGTAACATTTAGACAATGTCAACTCAGCGAGCAAAGAATATTATGGTCACTAATCCTTTTAATCCAGATGCTATATGATACGGCAATATCCTCTCAGGCAAATTAAGCATTATTTACTATACAGAACAAAGACACCTCAAACTAAATAAACAATTTTTCTAAATTCCTATATTACTAAAGCAGATAGAAACTATATAATATACTAAATAAATCAGTGGTTCTCAATTGCTGCTTGAGAGACTGGTGCCAATCTATGGACATCTTTCTGTTAGCCCAGAGAAGCATCCAGTGAAAAAAAGTCTTGTGAATGATGTGATTTTCATGAAATATATATACTCTGTATATGTGTTAATAATAGTTCACTATAAAACAAGTGAGCTCCATAATTTTCACTTAAAATCCTTTTGAAGAATCTAAATTAGGAGACAACAGCTATAAGCCAAAGTACTCCTAGGCACCTGTAAGCATTTCACAAAAATTTTGCCAATCTGTGGAGTGAAAAATATTAGAAACAACTGGTCTACATCACTTGCACATACAACTTACAGATGAAAAGGGGCTTATTGGTCCATCTAGGCTTCCCATCCACTATACTAAACTCTAAAATAAAAGTAAAACACTCAAAGCCAGCCCTTATCATTCAGATATTTATCAATCCATCCCTTAAATTAATTGCATCTACCACAAAGGAAGGCAATCCATCCCCTGTTAGAAAAATAAAACTGTCATAGCTGAAGATGACTCCTACCCTTCCAAAGTTTGTTTGTCTCTTCTTGTCCTATGTTTTCATCATAAGATGATGCATCAGCATTGCTAATTCCCTTAATATTCATAAATACCTCAATTAGATCCACTCTAACTTCTTTTTTCAAGAGAAAACAATTTCAATGAAATTGTATGACAATCTTTTCATCCTAGGTATCATTCTAGTTGTCCTCCTATGAACCATTACCAACAATTCAATGTCTCTTCTAAGGTCAGAAGCCCAAAATTGAACACAATACACCAAATGTGGTCTAATCAATTACTTATACAATGACATTATAATCTCTTTAGACTTGTATTCAATATTTCTATAGATACAACCTAAATCTCTATTTGCCTTACCACTAACAACAGTACATTGCTTGGATGGCTTACGAGACTGATCAACCAGAAAACCAAGATATTTTTCTGTCATAACACTGTTAAGGATATTCCCATTAAAATTATACTTATAATTCACCCTTGCCTTCACTATAATTAAAAGTCATTTGCCACTTATTCAGCCAATATTTTAAATCCTCTTGTAAAGCAGTAGCAACCTTCCCACAGCCAGCAACACACAAAACTTTTAATATTAAATAATTTGTTGACCATTCCTTCATCTATGTCAATGATGTAATTTATAAAAGAGCAAAGTTCCTAACACTGAGCCCTGAGGTACCCTACTTGTAACATGACTGAATTCCATTTGCAACCCATTGCTTTCTTCTTTCCATCCAGTGTCTTATCCAATAAGCCAACCTATCCCCCACACCTACAGAGAAAACGTTTTGAACAAGCCTTTTATGTGGCACTTTATCAAATGCTTTTTGAAAATCCAGATACACCAAATCCACAAACATGCCCTCATCTACATAAGCAGTGATGTTCCTCTTCAAAGAATGTCAAAGATTAGTAAGGCAAGATTTTCCCCAAGTGAAACTATGCTGACCATTCAACAAAATTTTAAACTTTAGTAAACAACTTTGTAAATCATCTTTTATCAAACTTCCAAAAACTTTTCCTATCACTGGCGTATGATTTACCGGCCTATAATTACTATGATTATCCCCTCCCTTGAAAAGAAAAATTGCATAAGCCAACTTCCTATCTTCTGGCATCTGCCTATTGTTCAAGGACTAAGAAAAAATAGTAGCAAGTGGTTCACATATCCAATCCTTAACCTCTTTTAAAACCATTGAGTAAATATTAACTGGCCCAAGAGCATTACCATTCTTTTAACTTCCAATTTTTTTAATTTGATCACATTATTCAATCTTGTTTCCATCTAGCAACTGGTCAGATTAAGGAACATTGCTTATATCTTCATTAGCAAAAATTCAAGAAAATGTAGAATTTAATAATGCAATCATTTCATTATCATTGGATATTAGTATGCCTGTATCATCCTTCAAAAACCTTACTCCCATCCTGTCATTTTGCTTACCCATAATATATTTAAAGAAATCCTTACTATTCATTTTTACATTTTCAGCAAACCTTTTTTCATATAGTTTTTTATTTTCTAATTTCATATTAAAGTATGTGTAGCATGAAATTTTATCTTGTAGTTTGATTTCGTCATAATTTAATTTTTAAAAATTTAAAGCTTTAACTTTATTTTTTGAGCATTTTACTACACCTCCAGATCTAAAAAAAAAAAAACCATTTATTACTGCTTTAGATTATTCCAACCATTCAAGTAATCACAATATTACATTATGATTTTCAATTAATTCATAGTTGTTCAGCTTAATCAATTAGTTAGGGCTCACAAAAATATTCAACCAATTATTACCATTTTCAATTATTCAAATTATTCAAGTTTCATGTGAGAATAATTGATTAGTTCAATGTAATCAATTAATGAGTTTGAGAATTACTTGATCAACAAATTCCACTAATTTCTCAACTCTACTTCCAAAACCATTTTTTATTATTGATCACTTAAATTGACATATACTACGTAATATATTTTTAACATTAAAGTAGGTTTGATGTGTAAAAACTGAGTAACTGAAAGATAGCAGAAGCATACAAGAGAGATAGTGAGGTCCAACTTATTTCTCAGAGGACTGCTAATGCGATCCCTATTTGTTTTAAAACTATTTCAAGAATCATTATTTAAATAGTAACTTTAAAATACTGTTGTACCATAACATGTGACAACAGGTTCCAAAATCTTGGTACCAACAAAAGTCTAACTAACAGACTTGCAAATTACTGGATCCTTCCCAGACACTTTAAAAAAAAAAAACATATTTCTTGCCTAAACAAATAATTGGGACTTTTTGATACAGGCTCTCAGTTGATGTTGTATATGCTGGCTTTCAGAAAGTTTTTGATATAATGAACTATGTTCAGTAAGATGAGACACTTAGATATTTTGTGTAATAGTCAAGAG